CTCTTTGTGTTAAAACAGCTGTTCATTCAGGGGGGTGTACTACAAAGGTTAACACGCCCAAGCTTTCTTTGCGTTACCTCCCTCGACAAATCTTAGGGCCAAGACACGGGGCAGCCCAAGCAGAGGAGTCTAGACATCCCTCTCTCCAGCCTCCAGTCTGGGGTGAGATTCAGGCATGTCACCCAAGAAGGACATGCCTGGAATACCTCACTGCCCAGGAGGCATCCTAGTGAGATGTCCAAACCACCTCAATTGGATCCTTTCGTTGTGGTGAAGTAGCAGCTCCCCCCAGAATGAGCGAAATCCTCTCCTATCTCTAAGGCCTGCTATATTCAAAACATATTTTCCCAGCACAGAATCTAAAATGACTTTAAACATGTAAATAAAATAATCAGTGAAAATGTAGCCTTCCAGCTGAATTTGAAACCAATGCTCTGAGCATAACCTGCTCCCAACCAGGGTACGTGTTCATCATCAGTTACCATGGGGATTTAGCCAGGTAAAAACAGAGCCAATTTCATGACACAGGAAACTCTGACCTTTGACTTTTGAGCTCCAGATAGCTCAAAAGAACGTTAATCTGGCTTTGTAGTACACCTCTCTGCTGAGGTGGGACTGACTGTAATAAATGATCAGACCCTCAGTTTGTGTGTTTGAAACAAACTAGAGAAAAGTTGTGTTTGATTTCCTCTGTCTGAATAAAGATCCAGTTTGAATTGTCTACATATGGATCACTTATGTGTGCGTTTCCATAGAAAGCTGAGAGCATTTCTAGTCTTTCTATCAGATCAGCATTTTTAAGAATGTTTCGTCCGATTTCAGCTGGAAAGACTTTTGTATTGAATGAGATTAAATTTGTTTTTGTAAATCAAATATCTGACTAATAAATCAACAACTCTGTGCCTTTTTGTGTTTTTCCATAGCACTTCATCCCCACAGACTGCAGTTCTGTATAGTGCCTCATCACTAAAGGGACCACTCCACTAGAGTTTAAATATCTGGGAAGCGCCACCGTTTAATTTTAGAACTGATGACGTTTCTTGGATGAAATCAACTGGACCTCGCTAAAGATCCAACTGCTGTATTTCACAGGGAGGGAGAAGACCGAGTCCCTGTTCCCATTTAGAGGCAGAGTCGCCCTCTACAATGTACGCAACAGACAATAGAGACATTTTTTTATATTCCTTCTTTTTCTCTACTCTTGTTCTGCTTAACTGATTCAAGCTGAGTGCATTTATTAGAATTAAAATTTAGACGGAAATAAACTTGTATTTCTATTTACTAACATTATTTTATTATTACATTCATAAAAGTAGGTGGTAGAAATGTTTTTCATTGAGATACTTTTACTCTCTTACTTCGAGTATATTCCAGAGCTTATACTTTTTTACTTTTATCTTATTAAAGAAGTGGAATCAGTACCTTTGCTTTTACTGGAATTGTTTTTTTAACAGTAGTAGCTGTACTAGCGGCTCAAAGATGTGTGATGTTGTCTCTCAGAGTAACACTTTAAACTGTAAGAGTCTGTGATGGATGCGTACATTGGAGATGTGAGCAGGACAGATGGAACAACTGACGGGAAAAG